TCACTTCATGGGTGGATCATCAAAGGAAAGGAAAGTATGATGTTTCCAGTATTGCATGCTAATCTCTGCACTTCAGCTCCACAACGAACCTCTTGGGTGGAGAAGAAAATACGCCTCGGATCAAGGCTTCTCCTACACATCCTTCATAATATTGTTATTCCTTTATTATATAGGTCCTTTCTCTCTCACTCCCATTTAAGTTCCTTTTTCCATCAGACTTTTGAAGCAAAAATATAATAAATAGGCCCAGCTGTTGTGTTAACATCCAAAGCACACTATATTTAGGCTCATGTCATATAAAAAGCAATACATATATGTCGGGCCTTAGCCAGTTCGACAAGGACAATGCGAGTATTTGATAGCCTAATGCATACTACTTGGCTTGGACGGACCTGAGTCTCTTGAGTTCCATGTCGTCACTTCCTATCTCACTAACTCAAAAGCCAACCAAGTATAGCCATTAGAAGTACTTATTCCTTCACCACTTTACTCCAAGTGATCAGAACATCTACACAAGGGCTCTCTCAAGGAGAGGAAAAGCTAAAGTCATTAATGGACCCTCGCTGTTTTCTATCTAATATGTCAAAAAATTGTCAAAATTTACACGCCAGTATGGTATGGTACCACCGTACCAATACCAATCTTTGTAATTCACTGCAGCACCTGAACTCCCAGTTTTTTGCTTTTTTTTTTCCCTGAAAATAATACTTCATCAGAGGAGTGCCAAAGAGTTGAAGATTTTGATGCTGGTGCATCTATCATTTCAGTTGTTTCTCCTTTTACTGCAGATATGGATTTGGATGCAGAAAATATACCAAGAAAATGTCATGAATAACCATGTTAATACTTGCCAAAAAGAACATATTGCTAGCGAACTTGTAGCAAATCATAACGAATAAATTGAAAACCCTCTTTGATAAGTGAGATCGCACATAAGTACTTGACTAGATACCTGAGCAGAAGCTTCCCTCTGTGGCATCCATGAAGACAAGTTTCTCCAAATATTTCCTGTAGAAAACCCACTGTTCGATAAAATTTGTCAGTTCCATCTTTTTTTGGGCAATAGGTTGGGGGAGAGAAAGCAAATTTGATAATGGTCTGCAACATTACCTAGAGGTTGTATTTTGGCCTGAATAGGTGGGAATGTAGCCTGAAGAATTGCCACCAGTACACAAAATAAATTTGGGTCGCCTTACACAACTTGACTGAAAAAGACAATATTTACTCAGGTTGGTGTACATTATACAATCAACAACTTATCACGGCAAATTAAAAAATTGACAACCTATTAAGGTAAAGTTGCAAAATTGGCAGCTTATTGTGCTAATTTCTAAAATTGACAACTTAATATGGTAAAATCATAGAATTGGCAACTTAATATAGTAAAAGTATAATCAAATGCAACTCCATCTCCATAATAAGCACAATAGCATAATTTACAACTTATAGAAGTAAAATTAGTGCCATATATAACTGATAGCACCTTAGTCACCAACCTTTCGAAATGCAAAGCAAATACTAAAGAACTACAAAAAAGATCATAAAAAGTAATTGAACTGCCAAATATAGGCAAGTATTCTAATAAAATTAAAAAAAAAATCAAAGAAACTTATCATATCAAAGTACTTACAAGCAAAGAAGAGGATTCAATAGCAGAATAAAAAGATGACCCAGGAATAAGAAAGTTGAACAAACCATAGATATCTGAAAATGTAAAGATAGTCAAATAATGTCCAAATAAGTTCTCAAATAAAAGAGAAAAAGAGAAATATACATTAGTCTTTAAAAGCAAACAGGAACACATACATGCAAATCCAGACAAAATGCCGCATAAGTGTCCAAGTAACGAAACATTTGTCATAAGAAGCTGGAAGACTATCAATAAGATCCAGGCATACCTGAAAGACACTAATCAGCTGTAGATCCCACATCTTTAAGAAATCACGATCAAGTTAGATATACAAGATAATAAATATCATCAGAGGCAAAGAATTGCACGTACCATTTAGCAGGCACATTGAAGAGACCAAACACACTGCAGAAGAAAGCAAAAACATATAAAAGATTGAACATCAACAAAGGAATTGGTCCAATGAACTGGAACAGGCAGAAAATCTCATTACAATAACTATTAGGCGTAGGTCTGAAATGGTGAGAAATGACAGTTTCAGTAGCACAAAATATGCAAATTAAATTTCCCGTTCAAACAGAAAAATTAGCAGATTTTGCTAGACAAAACTAAAAAAGGAAAAGACAAGCAAACAAAAACAAAATCATGCAAGGAGAAATTAGCTCATTTTATGCATTTGAAGATACAAACCTCCGAGATTGGACTCCACTCAAACTTGACTCGATGACAATCATAGAGAACAAGATTCCCGAGAAGCCTATTGCACACTCATTCATGAAGTACTCAAATGGATGGAAAGGATTATGGAACACCAGCAAAGCAATAAGAAGGTGTAGTATAGCATTGGTTGTAGCCAATAAAACTATCATGTACAACAAGCGGACAGATCCCATAATTCTCTCCAACTCGGAACCCAGAGGAACCAAAGCCAGCATGTTGAATAGAACATGTAGTAGCGAGCCATGAAAAAGAATAGATGTATAAATCCTGTAAACTGTGAGTCAGAAGAAAAAGAGAAAAGTAAGATAATCACATGACACACAAATCACTTATTTCAAAAACAAAGGAATTTACAGATGTTCATGACATAAAATAAAGAACACTTAGCAATATGCTGGCCCTGTCCATTGAACAACTTAACAGTTTATATTCAGATTAACTCTGAAAGAAGTGAAATGATAAAAGAAGACCAGTGATATGTTTCAATTCCATTTCCATTGTGGATGATTTGGATTACCTTGAAAATGTGGTATAACTGCACTTGGCAAGAAGCAGATTTCATAAAACGAGTCATATCCAACTAGGAGGCAGACCAAGTAAATAACACCACAAACAATCACTACCGCTGAAGTTAGGAATGGAATAGCTTCCCACCATTGCCCCGCTCTAGTAGGCAATCCTGCCTGTAGAGAAACAACCACCAACTTAATAACAAAAATCAACAGTTAAATAGCTCTAAGATTCCTTCCCTGGTAATTTGTAAAAGTACCAATAAACAAGTTTTCAATATTGAGTATTTTCTATGGAAAGTACATTCATGCTCCCAAAATCTTCTTTCATCCTACTCTATGTTGTCAGGGGATGCCATTCAGATTCAACCTAGTGAACTGATAATCATCAAAGAGATAATAATACATAAAAAGGTGCATGTCCATACTATTCAAGATGGGATCTCAATGATAGAAATATAAAATTGCATAACGTCATGCAAGGTAAGA